TTTCACAGGCTTCCTTTAAAAGATAAAAACAGTCTGAACAGCACTTTTAAAGAAGTACTGGTTTGAAACCAGCAAATCCTCCAGAAAGCAGTATTTTGGCATTTTGTGGTCATCTATTTGAGGGTGAAATTATTCAGCTGGCATCAGTGTGTCCTTAATAAATTAAAAAAAAAAAAAGCTCATTCCTTCTGCAATTCAGCTACCATAACACTTCAAGCCATTTTCCCCCATTTGTTTTTTTCTGTAAGTTATCATGTCTAATGGTTATCCCTGTGTTTCATGTTGAAGAACTGCTCCAAACAAACAGCTGCCAAGGTTCACAATTCACCCTGAAAGTATTGATCACATATATATACTCAAACTTACCATGAACGTAGATTGATAAACTATCAATTATCAATTAACCTGGGAGAAAATCTTTGCAGGCTTAATATGTTCTTACAGTTAGCATTGCATGTACACTACTTATGCGAGACACAAGGTAACGTTACAAATAGTCGGAACATAGGAAAAGACATATCTGAGCATCTGGACAAAAAAAAAAAATATCATCAAGGGGGAAAAAGTTATCTATACTGTATCATAGTTCCTTATAAGCACATCCTACATCTACATGTTTGCTTGGTTTTTTTGTTACATTCACTGTAATATTGACCAAAAGAATGCCCAAATCACTCTTCTGCACACTCCGTAATGGAGCAAACACTCTTTTGAAAAGGACCCAGAGTTTCTCATCTACATCAACACAAGGCAGCCAGTGTTCGTTTATCTACACTCCTGTTTCCAACAGTTTGTTCCTTACATACCGTCACAGTGACATACCAGAAATGTCACTGTGAAAGCTAGCTATGATTGGTGTAGTCTGTCAGCTGTCTCTCCAAGTCAGTGATGGTGAGCACAATACTCCATATGGACATCCATGGAGATTTTTTTTAAAAAAAGTTGTAAACAAGAATCACTGTATGTCCATGGTTTCTGTGTCCACAGCAAAGTAAGTCTCAAGACATTTACTTCTTACTTCTTAAATCCAAGGACTATTAAAGTAATAATAACGCCAATAGAAACAGTCCAATGCCACTGTTGATTTCTTCGAGTTCACATCCATGATAAGATCATCATGTCCTCCTAAGACAGTTTAACACCATACAATAATTAGTCTCAAGGCTACTGAACGAAGTGATACAATCTAGAAAGCTGTACGTACTGACCTCAATTCTGATCAAGTATAGACTGACTGTAGAACTACTGAACCACTTCCTCACAGCACCCTACAACAAACAGGCCAAAACGAGAGCAAAAAAGGAAGGCAGAACACAGTTACCATTACCTAAAACCCACTTTGCTGAAAAGAAGGGGACAGGAAGGTAACAGCTATTGAGGTCAAATGTATGTACAAATAAGTCCCATCTGTGTGTGTGTGTCTGTGACACAAGGTAACTGTTCACAGAAGTGTGCAAGGTAGTTGATATCCATAACTTTAGAAATCCAGGTGGATGTTGAAAACTGAGAGGAATTGCCAGTATATTTCAACACTTCCATAACACCTTTGGGAAAATTTAATTCATGATATAAAAATATTAGTCTGGTTTAACAGACTTCTGCTGCATTAGCACATATTTTATCTGTATTTGTTCACCTGTTATAAAGTCAAATTTCCTTTTGCTCAACTGTAAAAATAAATAAATAAATAAAAGAAAATTGTTGAATAAGCAGATACAGAAAAATTACAGCTGTCACATCCATATACTATCCTACATGTACTGCCAAATTAGTTCTACTTTATATAACAAGAATCAATAAATATGGTGCACATTTATTTTATCTTTTGCTGTACTGAAGAGGACAAACATGTTGGAAGTGACTTCCCAGGCTTTTCTCTCCTGCTACCATCTGTTCTTATTAGAAAGGGAGAACAGATTTTAGAGCCAGAAAGCAATTCGGCACATTTCCCACCAAACCTGAACACCGACCTACAATGTCAATGCTGCACAGAGCTCAAAATAGACTAGTCACTCTAACTGCGATGTCTCAAAAAATAGCTCATTTTAAAACAGCAAAACACTGCAAAAAAACAAACCAAAAAAAGGATAAAGCCATTTACATTTGAGCTCTAAATTAGGATTATCTAGAAGATTTTGTTCCTCTAACCGTCTACACCTACTTGAGAGGAGATGATCTTCTGAACAAAATGCAAATCAGACACCCCTGAGTTCTTTCTCAGTTCCACACAGTCTGCTGCGAAAGCTTAACAGGACTTGACAAGCCTTTGTCAAGTCCATGTGTCTACAGTAGATAACTAGCTTATGATTTGAAACCAATACCAAAGATGATCACAAGGAAATGAAAGCTTCATCTAGCCCCAAAAATAAGAGATAAAGTAAGATATTCCATGTATTGCAGGATGGTTTCCTATAATAAATGATCTTATACAAAGGATTTCCAGAGACGATTTTAGTGTTTCGAATAAACACTAAAAATCACCATGGTTTGTTTCCTGTTGCAGTGTTTGTTGGACCCAAGCCGTTTCCACAACAAAGCTATTTCAAAGGAAAAAGCCTATAAAAATGGGTCCTGCTTAACCATGTCAACAAACACTGTTGAGTTTATTACTTAAACCTAAAGAGCTGAATGAACGTTGTGTTTTTGTCTGTCTGTGCTTATTGTCAGGAAACACTCAAGAAGTCACAAATGACTTCCTACAAAGATGTGTGGAAATAAGAATATCCACATCCACCATTACATATACAATGTGTTGGTGAGAGTATTGTTCAAACAAGAATCTGTGGGATTGGCCAAATTTTGCATGATAGTACTTCCAGTTTAATTTGCCAGGTGGCCGAGTATGATGACCACAAGGAAAGCACAACAGTTTGTAAATGTGTTTGTTCAAGGCATGTTTACGATCGCGAGCTCTGACTTGTAATTTTAAAAACATCAGTCAAATAAGTGTACATCCTTTCATAAAGAAATGCAAACACTGTGCTCACGATCTCCTATAATCATATTCTGTGAACTGATCAGAACTATACTCATACTTGACCTCCTCTCGTCTGTGTTATGGATTTGCTGCAGATTTAATGCAGCACTATGTCCTTTGAGTTACTGTTTAATAACAAACAAAAACAAAAAAACCCACGCAGTAATGCTTTACTAACCGACCTGTATCAAACTGCAGACATGACAAAATGGAAAGACTGGCAGGCCTGTGTCAAAATGGGACAGAACTCAGAATAGTGGGCAGCGAGGAGAAGCTGCCAAATAAAGGTCACAGGTACCATCTCTGCTATAGCCAAGTAGAATTGTGTCCATAAACAACTGTGCATCTGATATAAAAATATTACATCTAATGAAAAAGTAATGAAGTACAGAAATACAAATTACTATCTAAAGCGGGAGTTAGCTACAACACCATTTAATTTGAAATCAGACAGTACTACTGCACTACAGGGCTTTTTCCTGGATGGAAATGCACCATCACGAGTTGACTATGCACTAAAGCATGACTGGTCTGTACATCTTTAAAGCAATGACTAGAGTGTTATCTTATGTATTAACTTTTTTCCCTCCACTGGAAAATAATTGTATTTTCCATTTTCATAACCCCATTTTGGATGCACCACTTACTTCCTCAGAGGATTGTTGCCAGTTAAAGACGTACTGCCATTGTAACCTGGAGTCATTTCAGATGAACCAAGCACTGATAGTCATGTGTGTATTATTTATTTAAGTGGAAATGCAGATGTTGGAGTACGCAAGATGTCTATGCCTGCATGCTCTAACATTTCCATTAATATGTTTCCTTGGAAATGGCGTGCATGTTCAAAGGTAGGTCAGACATGTTAAGCATCTAAGCACACTTTAAACTATTAGCAGGAGTTGTATATTTTATACAAGTTTCATCTAAGTTGTTATTGCTTCTTTTCTGATTCATAAAATGACTGCCTGCAATTGTAAATCTAAAGATCTCCACTTTTAATTTAAAAAAAAAAAAAAAAAATTAATAAAACTCCACCAACAACAACATTAAGCCATTACAAGATATTGCACAGTGTCATCCAATCAGCTGCACATTTCATAAACAAAGATTAGGCTCTGCTGTTTGGCTCCTAAACCACTCCTGGTGCAATTGCCAGTGTGCATGCTAGCTATGATCCCACATCAAAACAACAAGTTAGTTTTAGCCTCGACTGTGCAATCAAGACAGGATCAATGACATAAGCTCAGGCCTTCTGAAAACAATGAGCAGGTAGTAGAGTGAGCCATCACAGTATTGATCAAAGCAAAAAGGATTCTTGTAATGGGAGAAACAAGTACACTGGCTCACCTTAACGTCAACACTAGTAACACTTCAGAGGGAGGTGAGGGGCTGACTGGTGTCCAAAGACACACGTGCATACATATAGAAGAGCAGTGTGCTATGCTTGATTCAGTAGCATTTAAGACAGGAAATGCTAAGCTCACACCTCGCAGCGATCTGACTGAGCCGTAAGAAAGAAGCAGAGCGCAGACTGATGCTTCTGGAGACGATGCAACTCTGGTCAAAGCATCCATCTTCCAACATGCTCACTCACATAAACATGCACAAGAACACATGTTCATTCAAAGAGCAAGCTATTACTATGAAGAGGACAGAAAATGCATAGAGACGGGAGGTCATTTTTTTGTGGTAATTTGAAATGCACACACGGTAAGGCTCAGAGAGAATACAGGGTAGGCGGTTCAGTCAGCATGTCCAGCTAGCTTGTAGTGCCGACCCTCTGTGCTAAAATGGTAGATCCCAGATTTCTCCCCATGCAATCTGCCACCAGCAACCATGGAGGCAAAACAGGAAGAAGACAAGAGAGGAGAGGGAGATGAGGAAAGATGGAACGCAACAGAAGAGGAAAGCTAGCATATTCCCTTTCCTCCTCATCCTCAGATAAAACACACACACAAGAATATAAAAGGTCCATAAACAAAGACAAACGCAGGGCAGACGGAAGGATGGTGATGGTACTTACATGAAGACTCAGTGCCGAACATGGCTGGGCCGGGAGCTGTGATGGAGAGAGAGGAGGAGGAGGAGGAAAGAGAGGAGAGAGAAAGGGGAGGGTGAGAGAGAAAGAGAGAGAAGGGAGGTTGATGAGCAGGCAGCTACACAGCGGGGGTCATCAAAGCAACACAATGCAGCCAGCCGGCCGTCGCTGCCTCCCAGACAGCCAGATGCCCCAGCTCCGCTATCCGTTGCTGCTTTAAAAGCCCTCCTCCAAACACACACAAACACACACAGCTAGTGCAGCTGCCAAAAAAAGGAGGCTTTTGGAGGATTAAATCAAGTACTAAATAAACATAAAATAAAAACTGGCAGAAATCCTTCACAGCCGCAGCAAATCCAGACACGGAGAAGTGGTTGTGGCTAGCTACTGCATCTCTGCTTTTCTGCAGTCTATATCCTCCTCCTCCTTATCCTCTCCATCACTCTCTCACTTCTCATTCCACTGTACGATTTACTAATGAAGAGAGAGACCGTGAGATTGTGGGGGAGAGGGAGAGTCTTTCCTGGGGAGAGGAGAGCTAAAAGGAGGGAGTGAAAAAAGAAAATCTGGCAAGGAAGCTCCTGCCACTGTTACTGCAGCCGTTGTAAGACAATAGCTATGCAAACAGAGAGTGACGTCAGGACACAGAAGGGAGAGAGAGAAAGCTGTCAAAGACTGACTGACAACTACTGCTAGATGGAGAGAGGAAAGGAGGAAAGGAGAAAAGGGGGGGGGGAGAAAGAAGGAGAAACACAAGCAGACTGGATCGAATAAAAGAGCAGATGAGAAAAAGATAACAGAGGAAAATATGAGAATGGACGAGAAACAGGAAAGCAAGGGGGAAGCATATTTAGATGATAAAAAAGAGAAAGAGAGAAAAGGCAGAGGTAGGGCTACAGATACAAACAGGACACACACACACACACACACAATGAAGCAGCGAAGGGGGCAGGGGGCTTTCATCTGTTAGTTCGACAAATTGAAACAAGTATGAAGCAGAGCATTGGAGACTACTGTGTATTTACTTGCTATTGACACACATACACACACACACACACGCACACACACGGCCATCAGCGAGCCAGAACAAAAATGTTCTGCCATGATCACAACATCAATCAAACTTGCACAGAAGACTTTAAAATTAAATTGCAATATTATCAATAATGTGAATTATTTTAGCAATAATAATAACAATAATAATAGCAACAACAACACACAGTAGATAGTTATGTAAGATTACAATTAAACAGAGCAACTGCGAGTGGAAATTATATAGAAGACAGAAAGAAACTTAATAGTAGTGTTACTCACCTGCTGTCATGAGACTGCTGTACAGTGGCATAAATATTGGTGTTTGCTCTGTTTGACAGTTATAGGTAAGCACGTATCTAAAGCACAATAAAAATTCATTAAAAAAATTTTAATTAAAAAAAACCCTGCAATGTACCAAGAAACCGTTTGGTCAGTGTATTCAGGACACCATGATCCGCCTCTTTTAGGACACGCATATACCCTGAGGTGCCCGTTATTGCACACTGTAACACCTTAATGAAGACTGGTACTAAATGTAATAAAATAAACACAAAGCCCAGCAACTGTGCAGCGGCAATCTGCCCTAAACCTGCTTTAGGGAAATGAATAGATACAGTCTGCACAACAGCTTCTGTCCAACCAGCCTACAAACCTAAATAGATAAATGGTCATCCAGCCGGACACTTTAATGGCCCCCACTGTGAATACGATGAAGACAGCTAGCATGTGGATTAGCTCAGCTGCTGAAGAGACGAGCGTGTACTGTTGTAGGCCTCTCATCTTTTGTGTCTCATACACCCACCTCCTCCTCCTCCACCACGTCTTTGTTCTTCAACCACAGGCAAGAGACCCCTTCTCTAACCCTGCTTTGAAATATGTGAAATCAGCAGTACTGAGTCAAAACATAGTTTTCTTATAAGGAAAATCTGATATTAGGTTAGGATAATAAACAAATATTTTAAGATTTACATCTTATATGAAATATAGCTACACATTTACGTCTTAATCTATCATTTCCATGAACCCTAGCCACACGCTTACCTCTGGCCCACCTACCTACTAAGAAGAAACATAGCGCATGTGCCCGTCCTTAGCACACAGAGTTTAGTCACATATCACTATGCTATTTTTACATGTTAAAAATCACTGCTATTCTGTTACACTCTACAATCTATGTCCCACATAAAAAACACACTTATCAAAATTAAACTCCTGTGAAAAATGTGCTACCTCGAGTACCAACTGCCTCCTGGTGTTCTATGGAGAAAAGCCATTGACCATTAAAACTCCAACTACCATTCAATAGTCATAATAGTCATAAGTGATAGGGTGCTTATTGTGCTACTCTTAGTTAATATCTAACATCCTAAACATGTTTAAATCAGGGCTGTTGTCCTTGGCAGGACAACTGTATATAGAAAGCATAAAACACCAGAAAATGCTTAATGTAATTGGCCTCCACAGTTTACTCTTCCACACTAACATGCTAATACTGCTGCTCCACCATCACCACTTGTCTCAAAGTTGCACAGCATATGCTCTGCTGACCTACTAAATCCACCCGCCCCCAAGAGACTGTCCATGCCTTCTTCCTGTTGAATGCCAGATTGAAATTTCAGTTTTCTGTTGTGTCCATATTAACACATACTTTTTCTATTATCAATAGTCTCATATATGTGCATGTCTTCCAGCCCAACCTCCCTAGATCCCATTGTTTTAGATAATTACATACCCATTTCCAAACTGCAATTCTTTTTAAAAAGCCTTGAGAAAGTTGTCATTCATCACCTCTTTCAGTTGGTGAAGAGAAACAATGTCTTTGATAAATTCTGGTTACCGACGAAAACACAGAACTAAAACTCTATTACTGAATATTACTAATGGCAGTCTTATACACTTGGATAGAGGTGAATATTCCTTTATAGTCCTACTAGACATCTCTGACCATGCCACTATATTAACAACAGTATTTTCTCATTCAGTGCCTCACTCAAATCCCCTCCATCTGAATTCTGGCCTAAAACTGTGGTTCTTAGCAACTTGGTAGCAACTTCTTCAGAGAGGTCAGTCATTACATCAGCTTACTCCCTAGCAATATCAAAACATATCAGAATCAGAATATGCCAAGAACATTGGCATCATTTTGGACATATCACACCTTGCTTCCAGCAAAACTCAGAAGTCACTTTAAAATTCTATTATTAACATATAAAGCTCTACATGGTCAGACTCCTGTTTATATAGCAGAGCTACTGAGACATTATTACAGCTGACAGCCCCTCAGATCGTCTGATCAACATCTCTGTTCCATCCTCTTACTTTAAAACCAGAAGACACTTTTGGGGTTGTAGCACCAATATTCTGAAATAGCCTTCCTCAGTCCAGCTGAATCTCTAGTTTGTTTTAAATGACTGCTGAAAAATCATTTTTATAGGTTAGCTTTACTTTAATCATTCTCCCATTACTTGTTGGTCATAGGTTTGACTATGTCTGGTGGAACATGTATAATTATCTTTAATGAGTGGCTTCTATTCAAACTGTAAAACACTTTACACTTTAAAAAGTGCAATACAGACATTTTTATTACTGGACCTATCACCTAAATCAATAATGTCATTTAATCTCCAAACTCCTATATGCAGTCCCATAAGTAAACCCTAGACGTGTTTTTCTGTTTGTTTTTAAAAAGCGACAGTACAAAATAAACCCAATCAAAAAAGCTGGGAATTTATTTTTGGTTGATTATTTCTTTATTGTAACGATGTTTCTTGGCAATAAATCTTATACTTTATATCTTATTTCTTCTTGGCACCATGTTTGCAATGAATATTATGGGTACAGCAGCACAATTAGGCTGTGCAAATTAAAAACTTCCCAAATCTGGTATTGGCTCTTGTTCTAATCTTCTGCTACCCTAGGCAATGATCATCAGGTGCCTGATTGGTGTCTGATCAGCAGCATCTTTGAGCATGGACCCTGCAACAGCATTGCAACAACATGCCACGTTTGACTGATCTGACACAGCTGTAAATGACTCTCATACTGAGCTAAAATGAGAATAGTGAACAACCCCAGTACGTCCCCCCCCCGATTCATACTTTTAAAGTAAATCAAATAATCATATACAGTAAGCTCTATGTTATATTGAAATATTCAAAGTTTTGAGAAACAGAGTAGACTTGATAAGATGAACAAGCTTTGCAGTGCACTGACAATCCTTCCACTCTTAATAAAGACTCCTGAGATTCTGTTAATTACACAAGGGGCAGCTTAAGAGAGCTGCCCCTTGTGTAATTGGAGAGGTGAGGGGAAGCAAGCTGGGACTTTACAACATGCAGCGTGCTCTGCTCTTATGTCAGATCAGCAAGGTCTGGTATTGGCATGCTAAACAAACATTCTTTGTTTTTACATTCATCATGTCCCAATCAGCCCAAATAGCAAAGAGAAGGAGTTTGGGTCTTAGGAGGTTAAAGAATTTAGATTTCAAGAAATGGAGAACAAAGCAAAAACTTAGTGAAGTGACTTGAGGTTCTTTCCATACAGAAGTGTTGCAGCTGGGCTTTTACATCAACATTTTGTGTGCCTTACTGTTTCCTCTCAGCTCCCATTTTTGTTTCATTTAGTGTGGATGCTGATTAAGCATCCACAGTATTGTTCTTCTACTTTTCATCTTACGTATGTTTTTTGTACGCTATCTCCTTCAACACTGTTCAACTTAGAAAAAACATTCAACCACTGTTAGATTCCTCTTCTTTTAGACGTGTGCTTGTATTTTTTATCATTTTTAACTTTTATATTTTTCTAAATTATTCAACTTTATTCAACAAACATTTACAATGTATTTCAATGGGAGAATCTTCAAATTCTCATTCAACTTACTCCTCTTTTAACTCTACTTCCACATACACTGACCGACAGACACCATTCAAACTATAAAATGAAGCCACAACATTGAACTATTCAGCTTGTATTTGTCTTTTTTAATA